TGGAACATTACAAAGCAGTATTTTTTGTAAGAGTATGTACTGCTATCCAATACTGTTTCACTACTCTACAAGTCCACCACATATGGTAAAAGCTTCCCTCTTGTGCTTTACACTTCCAATAAACATTTGACACCTCTGTATAAATCTTTGACAATTTTTCCAGATTCATATGCCACCTATAAAACATCTTATATATGTTCCCCTTGAAATTTACTGATTTTGTGAGCTTTATGTTATTTTTCCATATTTGCAACCATTGATCAATATCATGTCCTATATTTTGTGCCCACCTAATCATACATTCTTTTACCATCTCATCATGCATTTTAATTTCAAGCAACTAATTATACATTTTCTTAATTACTTTATCATTTATCATCACTCACTAAAAACTGTGAGACATCTAGATGACACTGTCTTCGATTTGGAATCCTCTGGTTTTTTTCCCCTTCATTTCTTCTGTCTTTACATATACCAATGTGGCAGTGTCATCCTAACTCAAAGATGCACCATTGGTAGGGGTTTAGGATGAGGCACAGCTTTTTCTTCTACCAAAAATGCCTGTCTGCTGGCAGAACTGTCTTTTTCCAGACCAGAAAGGAGTAATCAATGTTGGATAAACAATCACTTCAGTCCAAAAAAGTCTCTCCTAGTCACACGAACCACAGACAATATACAAGGTTACAAACAAAACTCAAATAAGATTTACCTGTGACAATTCAAATTAATATACACAGATATTTGGTTGTTGTTTAGTCGTGTCCGACTCTTCGTGACCCCATGGACCAGAGCACACCAGGCCCTCCTGTCTTCCACTGCCTCCCAGAGTTTGGTCAAATTCATTCTGGCAGCTTCGATGACACTGTCCAGCCATCTTGTCCTTGGTCGTCCTCTTCTCCTCTTGCCCTCACACTTTCCTAACATCAGGGTCTTTGCCAGGGAGTCTTCTCTTCTCATGAGATGGCCAAAGGATTGGAGCCTCAGCTTCAGGATCTGTCCTTCCAGTGAGCACTCAGGCTTGATTTCCTTCAGAATGGGTAGGTTTGTTCTCTTTGCAATCCAGGGGACTCTCAAGAGCGTCCTCCAGCACCACAATTCAAAGGCATCAATTCTTCGATGGTCAGCCTTCTTTATGGTCCTGCTCTCACTACTATACATCGCTTCTTGTGGTCCACACAAATGCTTTTGCATAGCTGATGAAGCAGAAGTAGATGTTTTTCTGGAACTCTGTGGCTTTCTTCATACTCAAGAGAATGTTAGCAATTTGGTTTCTAGTTCGTCTGCCCCTTCGAAATCCAGCTTGTCCTTCTCTTATATTCAGATATAATCATAGGTATTAGGCTGGACTGTCTACTATAGGCACAAGAAAAATATATGAGAAAGCAGAGTGGGAACAAGAGGAATTTGGACCACATGCGAAAGAAGCAACAGAACTCTCACTGCAGTTTCAACAGATATAAAAAAAAAAAAGGGAAGTTCCTCAGGAGGCATCTTATCCGTTAGGAAGCATTCGGTTTGCCATCCGTTTATACGCTTGGTTACAGGGACTGTACCTTCTTTAGCCTCTGGCTACACAACTTCTATTTTAAACCAAAAGTGCTGAAAGAATGGCAACTTGACTGAACCCCTTGGGCTTCAGCTCTAGTCTCGCGAGATTTCTCCTGCCTGGAATAAACTTTTAAGTTTAATGCTGGGAAGGCTTGCGAGATTTCCTGTGAGATCCTTCTCTCCGACGGCACATGCGCAGTCTTGTTGTAGCCGCCTCCGTTGTGCCAGCAACATGGCGGCGCCCGGTTCAGAGGAAACTGGCGGGCAGCCGCGGCCGGGGAAAAGCAACCGGACGCTGTTGGTGCGGCATCTGCCCGCCGTGTTGACGGCGTCGGAGAAAGAGGATTTGCTGAAGCACTTCGGAGCCGCGTCCGTGCGAGTCCTGTCCGACCACGGAAGACTGGTGAGGAACGAAGCGTCTCCGTCCGGGTTGAGCGAAAGGATCTGTCCCCTGAACTAGCGGTGCTTCCTTTCCTCGGTTCTGGAGGGGAAAATGGAGTCGGTTGTGGGGATTGCATTCCCCGTTTTCTGCTTTTGGGGTGGCGGTGGTGATAAGGAAATTAATCACAGCCTATCTGGAGCTGTTGATTTTCATTTCGGGTTGCCCTTCAGGAGCTAGGCAGAAACTCAACAGGTGAAGTGTCTGTGCACGAAGGGGAGAGCGGTACCTGTTCTGCTTCTGCCGTGCATTTGCTTAAAGGAGCAGGCGAGGCCGTCTGGATGAGCTGTTCCACTTTACACAGTGAACACAGAGCACGGTTGTTTCCTCCTGAGACAGCCGTCCCTCCCGTCTTCTGCCACCCCGGATCTCCTGCCTGTGCAATCACCCTTTGTTGCCATCAAAGGGTGGCAACAGCGCATGTTGTGGCACTAAACAAAACGTTGTGCTGGCTAGTAGTAGCACAAGTTTGTTGGTGTGTGTTGTTTCTAATTGAAGACAGCCTTATTAAGGATTTTCGAAAAGTGCCCTTATTAAAAGCCCCACTCACTTTCTTCATTTGAGTCAATTTGTGGTGTTTATTTATTTATTTATTTATTTAACTTATATGCCGCCCACTCTACCCAAAGGTCTCTGGGCGGCTTACAACAATTAAAATTCAACTAAAATACAATAAAAGATAAAATGATTAAAATACAATTAAAATTGCCATCAGGACCCACAGTTGATGTTATTTCAATTAAAACCCTTCTGGAACAGAAATTTAGTCTTTCACTTTTCCTGCAGCCTTCCACTTTTTGTAGCATTATTATTTTTCTCAGTGAGTATTGTCTTATGGTATATCCAAAGTTCAGTAGCCTCAGTTTGGTCATTTTAGTTCTCTGTGAGAAATTAACTAACTGTTTTGTCTTTTTTCCTAAGGAGAAGCAATGGAAATTTATAAGTGATCTCATGCTTCATTTAATCAAAAACGTGTGTATGTGACTTTCTCGTGGTACCAATTTCCTCCACTACCACATTTTGAAGGAGTCAGTTTTGTTTCTGGTCAGCTTTCACATCTGTAGCTAATCTTTGGGAATGGAATAGTATAAAGAGTCTTGACCTTGGTCTCCAATGATGCATCCTTACACTAGAAAATTGTTTTTCATTCCTTCAGACCTACTCTTCCAAGTTTCAGGGTTTTTTAAAAAATTTCTTGGCTGTATTTTGCATATTGATTCATTTCATAATTTTGACTTTCTCATAAAGAAGAAAACTGCGTAATTCTTCTGTAATCATGATTTTTGAAAAGGATCTTGTGATTTTAGTCCACCGCAAAATAAATATGTATTAGTACTTAAGTGCAGTTATATAAAAAAAGACTAACACAGTTTGAGGCTGGAGTAATGCAGTCAATGTTCAAGTTGGAAAAAATACAGTGGAACCTCTACTTACTAACATCCCTACCTACGAACGATCCAATTTACGACTCTGGCGGCAAAATTTTGCTTCTACCTGCGGTCGCAGCTTCAAGATACGAACGAAAAAGGCAGGGGAAAAGGGGGGGAAATGCAAACCTTTGGTGGCGAAGAGGCTGCTTCTTTGTACCTCTTTTGCCCCAACAGTTAGGAAAAGGGAGGCTCAGCCTCCCGGACTTCCAGCGCTGCTGCTACTGCCGCCGGGAGGTGAGCCACTGGACCATCCCGGCTGGGCTCAGCCTCCCGAGCTTCCAGCGCCGCTGCTGCAGGCTTTCCTGGGGTTCGCTGCAAGCGCCACCTTTCTCCCCCGCTGCGCGGCTTCTCCACCGCCATGGGAGCCGTTCCTGGGGCTTGCCCCAATCGCCACCTTTCCCCGCCGCCATCCGCTGCTCGGCCAGGGTTTCCGCCCCGCCAATGCAGGCTTTCCCTTTCATAAGACAGTAAATATTTGCAGTAAATTTAAATGTCTAGGTGCATGAAAGCAGTTTTGCCTGGTGGCAAAAAGATGGCATGATAGATGACAGGCAACCTTCTTAGGGGAGAATAAAAAGGTAAAGGTTCCCCTTGACAATTTTCCAGTCATGTCTGACTCTATGGGGCAGTGCTCATCCCCGGTTCCAAGCCATAGAAACGCGTTTGTCCGTAGACAGTTTCCATGGTCACGTGACCAGCGCGCCTAGACACGGAATGCCGTTACCTTCCCACCCCTCGTATTTGCATGCTTTCAAACTGCTAGGTTGGCAGCAGCTGGGACAAGCGTCAGGAGCTCACTCTGTTGTGTGGCTTCTAACTGCTGGTCTTTCAACCTTGCATCCCAGAGGCTTTTGCGGTTTAACCTGCAGTGCAACCACACCCCTTAATATACAGGTTAATTGACAGTGTGAAGAAGCTTTTTTTTCCCTTTGTTGCTGGTAATTCCTTCCTCTGCTTCCCACTCATTAAACCTTATCTGTTGAACTGTTCTAATTGTAAATAATAGGCTTTATGCAATACATGAGCTATTGGAGTATTCAAAGAAGGTTAATTAATATCAGTGGGATGTAGAAACAAAATTGTGACCAAGAATGGAGAATCTGGATATGGTTCGTTTAGAGAAAGGATGGATTTGAGGATTGATACAACTTTTTAAGAGATCTTGAAATCAATGGATGATTTGTTTTCTGCTGCTGCTACAAAAGGTAAAACTGGATTCTGCTAGCTTAAATTAAGCATCTTATAAATGACACTTATGTCCTGTGAAATCTGCCATGTTTGAACTGCAACTTTCACCAAAGTGCTGGAGGGTCTGAGGGGAGGAAGGAACAGTTTTACATATGCAGATGAAATGTCTCAAAGTTGCCAGTTTCTAGAGTGAGGTAATGAACACTGCATCTGATATTGTACACCAAAAAGTACGGAAGCATGTGACTTCACTATTACTGTATTCACTGCTGAAAAGAAAGGGCTGCTGTGGAAATATTTGATAGCACTTTCGCTCATAGTAGCAAGAATAGAAATTGCTTATAAATCAGAAGCGTGTGACTTCACTATTACAGTCTGTATTCACTGCTGAAAAGGAAGAGCTGCTGTGGAAATATTTGATAGCACTTTTGCTCACAGTAGCAAGAATAGAAATTGCTTATAAATCAAAATTGTTAAGTGATTGTGGTATCCCCTTCTGGCTTAAAAAGATATGTTGGTTAGTAAGTTAACGATATTAAGAAATGTAAATCAAAAAGATAATTTCACATCCATTTATCCAGTTTGGCATCCATTGTTCACACCACGGTGACCATGGTGAAGAGAGAATAACTTTCCCCCCTCATGTTTTAAGCCATTTTGATTATAACCAGGAAAAGATGACTAGAAGGTATTCAGAGGTAATTGACCTGGTTTAAGTGACATTGGTTTATGTTATTTAAGATTTGTCAGAAGGACTAGACAGGAAGAGTGATAACTCTAAATTCATCTAAACCTTGATCCAAAGGGTTTGTTTTATAATGGCACAGATATTCAGAAAACTGATATACAGTGATGAGGTTTGTGAATAAGACTTGTGCTTCTAGTGAGAATTAATTTCATAGCTGGTACTCTATTTTCTATCTGATCACTATGATAACTTAGTAATGAATCAGTCAAAGTGATTGTGGCTAAAGATAAAAAATTGAAATATTATTTGGGTAACTAGGGAACTGTGATCCCCATTAGGGATAAGAGTTGCTGGAGTCGACGTGTGCAACAGAATGGAACAGTTCTCTCTGTCTTCCTTGATATTTTATTCTGATACAGTGGTGCCTCGCACAGCTGTGTAAAAACATCGCTGAACGGGGCAGAAAAGCCCATTGGAATGCATTAAACTTCGTTTAATGTGTTCCAATCGGCTGATTTACTCACCATTCAGCGATGTTTTGCAATGGCCGGCAGCCATTTTCGCGCCCTCCCCTTGCTTAATGAGGGCGCGAAAATGCTGCGCGTGGCCATTTTGGGGCTTCTGGCGGCCATTTTGTAGCCGCCAAACAGCTGATCAGTGGGTCGCAAAGCGAAGGTTGGTAAGCGAACCGCTTACTGACCTTCGCTCTGCGATTTTCACCCTATGCAGGCATCGGTGTGCGATCGCATTTGGGATGTGAAAACCGGCCTCGTAGAGCGAATTCGTCGCTCTACGGTGCACTCGTTGTGCAAGGCACCACTGTATTTGTTTGGGGTACAATTGTTTTCATTTCCCAGTTCTATTGGTATTACAAAAATAAGTGCTGAAAAACTGTATTTTGCATTGAGAACAAGGTTCTCTCTGAGATGTGCGCCTGCGACTCTACCCCCTTCCGTGCAGGGCTCCTCCTCCTCCATGCATCCACAGCAGCGCCTTTGGTTCCGGTTGCAACAGAATCCCATGCGTGGGTGAGGAATCGCACATGCTAGAAGCAGAGCCCCACCCAGTAGGGCTGAAAATTAGAGGGACCGTTGATTAACATCTGTACTTATAAAATCTGTGTCTGTTTTGTTTTTCAGAAACATACAGCTTTTGCTACCTTCCCTAATGAAAGTACAGCTGCTCAGGTATGTGTTGAGACTGTTACTAAACATTTTACTTTGCTGGGTTCTTTCCTGATCAAATTACCTCCCAACACAGAAGCAATATGTTGAAAAGAAGTCTTAATTCCCAGTTCTATTGGTATTACAAAAATAAGTGCTGAAAAACTGTATTTTGCATTGAGAACAAGGTTCTCTCTGAGATGTGCGCCTGCGACTCTACCCCCTTCCGTGCAGGGCTCCTCCTCCTCCATGCATCCACAGCAGCGCCTTTGGTTCCGGTTGCAACAGAATCCCATGCGTGGGAGAGGAATCGCACACGCTAGAAGCAGAGCCCCGCCCAGTGGGGCTGAAAATTAGAGGGACCGTTGATTTACATCTGTACTTATAAAATCTGTGTCTGTTTTGTTTTTCAGAAACATACAGCTTTTGCTACCTTCCCTAATGAAAGTACAGCTGCTCAGGTATGTGTTGAGACTGTTACTAAACATTTTACTTTGCTGGGTTCTTTCCTGATCAAATTACCTCCCAACACAGAAGCAATATGTTGAAAAGAAGTCTTAAAAAGTTTATACATGCATGGCAATAAGATCTATTGAAATTTTAGTGGGACTTCAGAACAAAATTGTTTAGGGTCAGGTTTCTGTGAAATTTAAATAACATTGATTGAAATCCTGCTGGTGCAGGTTCATGCATGTACTAATTAAAAGTTTCTTATCTTTCCCCCAGTCCAGGCTCTTCCTTTAGTCCTAAGCAAGCCTTTAGGGGCCTTGGGATAGGGAGGAGTTTTTAATATCTGAAGGTCAGTACTGCTGGTCCCGGTGATAAATGGCCATTCCTGATGATGTATGTCATCAGCCTTTCCCAGGTGGAACTGCACCAACAAGATTTCGGGTGCAATATTACTAGGTTGACAGAAAACATGCTTGAGGGGAAGTCTTGGTTAGCAGGCCAGATGCAGGTCATGGAATCTCCCTTTTCTCATTTCTCCTTGGTCTGCTTCCCCTGTGCTGCTTGTGTGTATGTATATACACTGTAGCATATGTATATAGGCTTGTGCGAGCCTTGATCTTTTCAGTAAACCAGAATTGGTGGAATAGAAAAATCCAGTCCTTACGAACTGGTGAAATACAGGAAAAAAATTGTCAACAATATCAAGCTCTGCTCCTCCTGCCGCCCCCGGGTGCAGCAGTGGAAATGGGGTGCAGTCTCTTCTGTCACTTAAATTAGTGGTCCCCAATCTTGGGTCTCCAGATGTTTTTGGACTTCAACTCCCAGAAATCCTGGCCAGCAGAGGTGGTGGTGAAGGCTTCTGGGAGTTGTAGTCCAATAACATCTGGAGGCCCAAGGTTGGGAACCACTGATAAATCACCTCTGGATGAGTAAGAAATACTGAGCCAATTTTGGGGGGGGAGGTAGGGAGAGTTGTCATGGAAACTGTATATCTATATATACCTGTTTGTATCTAATTTGAAGTAAGTCCCACTGAGGGCAGTAGGGCTTATTCTGCATTTGTAGATATGATTGTAACTGAAAATTCTGGCATTGGTCATTAAGGAAAATTAAAAGAAAAGTATTTTACTTGTCCAAATAAGCTCCCCCGCCCCCAGTGGCCTGGAATTAGCAAAGTGAACTGGAAGTGGGGGGGAAGCAAGAGATTAAAATTGATTATAGATTGTCTTTTTTGAATGTATTAAATGTTGTATGTTTTCTTTATTTGAAGGCCTTATTAAAACTACATCAGCTGAACCTTCTAGGCCATACACTAGTAGTTGAGTATGCAAAAGACCAAGATAGCATTCGAGCTCAGAGCCAATCTTCTCTGTCTGAAAATGACAGAAGGTACAGTATGTGGATACTGTTATAGTTTCAGATGAATTATTTTTATATTTTTAATTTCAATTTATTTTTGCAATAAATACAGGAACATTTAGATTGCATGCATACATCTGATGTTTGTAGACTTAAGGATGTTACTGCAGTTGCATAGTTGACTTGGATTGTTCTCTTTCTATCCATTATGACCTTGTTATGGAAGATACCTCTACTCAGGCTGTTCTGTGCATAGGTTATGAGCAAGTTAAGGACTCTGAGTGAAGCAGTGAATCGTTTTGCCAGAGAGAGAGAAAAGATTATGACAAAACAAAATAATGCCCTATAATTTTTTTTCAATGTCTGGATATTTTCTTTGGTACTTTCATAGGGTTATAAGGATTCTATATAATTTTAATAAGGATTTAGTATGAGGAAAATATTTGAATGGTGATTTATGTTAATGAATCAAATTATATTAATGACTCCACAAGAGTGTCAATAATTGATAATTCATGTAAGATATTTAATGTTTTTACTACTGTCCTCTATTTCATCAGAATTTTCCAAATGGACTTTAAATCATAGAGATCCATGTAAAGAATTGGCAGCTTCAAAATTTTCCTTCATGATTTGGTTTCTTTGAAAAGTCTTGTTGCTTTGTTATGGATGTGGAAGGCAACTGGCGCAACATTTAGTTGCTTCTTGATGGCAGTTAATGAGTCATGGCTGGGATTCTTGTATCCACTGGCTTGTGAGGAACTCAAGATTTCCACTTATTACTAGCCAGGTAGAAGCAACTGTATGTTGTGATGTTTGCTTTCTGTATGTGTAACAAAGCAGTAGGATTTCAGCCAGTTCATCACAATAAAACTAGAGTCATTTCAGCATGCCATACCATTTTGCTATGTAGAACAGTGCTCTTGTATATGCTTGGTTTTTTTCAGTCTCGAAGAACCTGTCAAAGAAGAGAAGGAGAAGAAAGATTTAAATTGCCTCAAAATTGAAACTGGAATTGCTCCTAGCCATGGGTTAGTATTTAAGTGTCAGTTGTACACATTGAAATGCATTTTTACAAAAAAATTTTTTTACAAACAAGTCATTTGCTTATTCTAGCTTCTAAAAGTGGGTCACGTTCTCTTTGTTTTAAAACTTGTATCATTCAAATTACCATTCCTTAAGATTTCCAAGAGATGTTTTTATCTGCCATGACTAAAACTTGAAATCCTGCATTCTATATGAAACCAACAGATATACCTAAGGAACAGAGCCATTTTACCTGCTGAAAAGGCCACAGTCTTCAGGACTCCTCAACTTGTCTGGGTTTTTTAAGACTTCTTAAATTTCTCTCTACAGTGATGAGTTAGGATTTGAATATTGTATGAATCAAAAATATTTCTTCCTGTAAGTGTAATTTTTCATGGGCTGGCATCTAAAATGTTAATATGGCAAGCACATAATAACATGTTTAATGTGAGCAATGTATTGCCATGTTTTAGGCTTTGAAATTCTCTTTAGTTTCATAAGCGACTTGCTATGTGTCATCAGGAGCTATTGTTATAGAAGGACATACACAGTATATCTAGGCTTAATGGAACCACTTGCATGCATCTTTGGGTCCTGCTGTTGTGCCACTGATTGCGGCTTTAGCAAGCCTTCAGAACAAAATACAGAGTTTAAAAGAAGGTGCATAGCACTGAACAAGGGGATACATTAAGAAAGTGTACAATTTAATAGTGTCTGTAATATTTTAGAATTGCTTATGAGCTAAATGTTTTTAGCTCATGCTTTCAAAATCAAAATTTTTAAATATGATTGTGTTGTGTCTTATTAATGTTAAATATTTATGGTTTCTTCACAGGTTAACTTTTCCTGTAAATTCTTGCCTCAAATATCTGTATCCCCCACCTTCAAATGCAATCCTAACTAACATAGCAAATGCATTGGCAAGTGTCCCTAAGTTTTATGTACAGGTAAGTGTAGATACGCTTTTTTATTTCAGTTCAAGGCTTAAACCATGTTTTTGCTGGTGGTGGGCAGCGCTGCTGCTAGATATTTATTTATTTTATTTATTGGACTTCTACCCTGCCCATCTAGACGTTTAAAAACAGTTAAAACAGTGAACATATACTATAAATCCAAGATGGCAAGATGTGAATTAGGATACAGCAGGAGGGAAAGATTGCAGAAATAGCCAGGTCTTGACTTTGCTTCTAAAGACATCCAGACAGGGAGCCAGGCAGATCTCCATAGGCAAGTTGTTCCAAAGGCGAGGGGCCACTGCCAAGTAGGCCCGGTTCCTCGTTTTTTCCTTCCAGACCTCCCTTGGTGTTAGGCCCCTCAGCTGCCTGGCCTGGCTGGAATGAGTGACTCTGGGTGGGAGGAGGCCCTCTGGCAGATATCGAGGTCCTAAAACATTTAGGGCTTGATATGTCATCGTTAGGACTTTGAAATCAACACAGAAGCAAATGGGCAGCCAATGCAAGGCAGCCAGTGTGGGGGGAAATATGTTCGTACCTTTTCACCCTTGTAAGAAGTCTGGATGCCATATTCGGCACCATCTGGAGTTTCCGCATCAGTCTCAAAGGCAGACCCATGTAGAGTGTATTACAGTAGTCTAATCCTGAGACTGAGCACATGGACCAAAGTGGTGAGCGCCCCCAAATGAAGATAAGGACACAGCTGGGCAATCCGCCGAAGATGGAAGTGTGCGAAATGGACCACTGACACCACATGGGTTTCCATGGTGAGCGCCGGGTCCAGATGTACACCCACATTGTGAACCTCTCGGTGGCAATAGTCACCCCCCCCCAAAAAAAGCGAGAGTTTCCCAAACCACTGATGTCTGGGGCACCCACCCAAAGGACCTCCATCTTGCCCAGATTCAGCCTCAGTCCATTCTCCTGCATCCATTGCTGAATGGCCTCCAGGCAGTGCTCAAGGGACGAAACAGCATTCACTGTTGTTGGAAAAAAGGAGATGTAGAGCTGAGGATCATCAGTGTATTCATGACATGAAACCCCACATCTCCTGATGACCCCTCCCAGCGGCCTCATATAAATGTTAAACAGCATTGGAGAGATGATCAAGCCCGAACCCCACAATTGAGGCTCCATGGGGCCAAGGAACTCTCCAATCTCCAGTCTCTGGGGACGGTCCTCCAAGAAGAAATGGAGGCAGGCAAGAGTCAGGCCACTGATTCCCAACTCAGCCTCCCCATGAGAATATTGTGGTTGATGGCATCAAAGGCAGCTGACATATCAAGGAGGACCAACAGTGCCACAGAGACGAAATCTGCCAGCTCCGGTAAGGAAATGGCTGGGTCTCAGAGCGCGGTAACCCAGCAAGATCCCAAAAACCATCCCTGGCCCCAGTCAACACGTGGAGGATCTCTAGACCCGTCGCCACCGCCACTGAGCGCCTAACAACCTCCAGGGTGTTCTTGTACACAATGGCTACCCCCCCCCCCCGCCCCTCCAGTCTACTCTGGTGTTGGACTGCATAACCAGAAGGACAGGCAGGAGTCATGGGAACACCCCCTTCCCTGCCCATCCATATTTCAGTTATGCATGCCTTGGGGCAAGCTGCACGGTCGCAGGGCACCCTCAGAAGAAGGGAACAGTAAACAACTTCTGATGGTTCTATAGCTGTAAAAGGATCGGCATAAGTCAGAATTAACTTGGCTATACATGATATACATGATGATGATTATTAAATAGCTCTACTGAAGGACTTTCGTTTCTTAGGCTTTTTCCACTGCCGAACAGCTGTTCCCCCTCGCA